ATACATATCATTCGCTCTTGGCCATCAGCGTCACCTTCGTGCTGGTTCACCTGCTTCGAGGTGCTCCACACTTAATGCTGGGCGTCAACTTCGTCTTTCACATGGGCTACCTGCTRYTGGGYTATTACTTCACGGCAAGCAACGAATACGATATCCTGTGGACCATGCCACATTGCATATTGACGTTGCGGATGATTGGTTTCGGTTTCGATGTGGCCGACGGATTGAAGCCGGTGTCTAAGCTATCGAAAGAGCAGAGTGAGACGGCATTGAAGCATCCGCCTTCGTTCCTTCAGCTATTGGCATATGCTTACTTTCCCAGCGGCTTCTTGGTCGGYCCGCAGTTTCCCTATCGACGATACCAAAACTTCACGAATGGCGAKTTTCGCCAATAYGAGGGCTGCGTGGACGCCGGTCTTAAGCGTCTGGGCATGGGTGTGCTCTACCTAATCGTTTGCCAACTCGGTTTAGCCTATCTGCCGGATAACTATTTCCTGACACCGGAATTTGCGGAACAGCACTTCATCAAGCGCATTTTCTTCCTGGGCTTCTGGGCGAAGTTCACGCTGTACAAATACATTTCGTGCTGGCTGTTCGCCGAGGGCGCTCTCATGTGCATTGGCTTCACGTACAAGGGCCGCGATGCACAGGGCAATCCGGATTGGTCTGGCTGCACCAATGTCAAGCTAATGCTCCTCGAGACCGGAAACACCATGGAACACTATGTGCAGAGCTTCAATGTGAACACCAATCAGTGGGTCGCTCAGTACATATTCAAGCGTCTCAAGTTCCTCAACAATMGGAACATTAGCTAYGCGGCTGCTTTGGGTTTTCTAGCCGTGTGGCATGGCTATCATAGTGGCTATTATATGGCATTCCTTATGGAGTACATGATAGTCAGCACCGAGAAGCAGGTGAGTAATTTATACATGGATATAAAATATTACATATGAAATAACTAATTTCGTRYTTAACAGATCGATCGGGTTTACACCAAAGAAGTGCTGCCCAGATATGGCGAAATATTAAACAACTCAATGATCTATAAAGTACTTTATTTCGTATCCTTAAAGTCCTATAACATCGTCTACATGGGCTGGTGTCTCACCTCATTTGTTTTTCTCAAATACGAGCGCTGGATCACGGTCTTCAGTGCAGTGAACTACTTCGGCTTCATATACATGTTCATCTGGGCTTGYCTRTTCCATGGCTATCGTCATTTTGYTGGCAAACCGCCCCAGAACCGCGAGCCCACCGCAACAGCATCAACTGTAAAACAAGCCACAGATTAGTGGAGCGGCTATCCTGCATGCAATGTCCAATTCAGCATAATTTCTTTAAAATTGAAGTGAAGATGTTACCAAATAACCATAGTTTACTCTCACACRCATATATATSTGCATATATATTACCGTGGATGGTAAACGATTGAATACGATAAGGACTACTGGACGTGGCGTAAAGTTGTAGCTGTTCTCAATCGTTCATTATAGAAAGCAATGTCTAGTCAGTGAAAAATAGTTGAGTTGCTCTATGAACGGCGTCGAGACTTATCCAACTATAAAGACAATTTTATATACATATWTTTTCATATGCTCACAAACTGTATAAGGGAAGAAGCAGCTATGCAAAAAGTGCAAATTTAAAAATCAAATTKCAGAAATTATCSATTGAAAATTCTTTATAACTTTTCGAACCTTGTAAATATTGTAGAATCAAGGCTTTTAAATTATATCGTAACTAGTTTGTAACACTCTAACAAAATTGGTTATATCGAAAAATGAATAAACTTCTTGCTTGAGTCACCCAACGAGATGCGAATTGTCTTTCAAGTAGATTCATCTGATGGATGCCCTTAGAGTGGAGRAGTCTGCAATATCAAAGATCTATAAACCAAATATTCCACAATAAAGAGAACATTCCACTTTACAGATACAATGCATTTTGTAAACATATTTATTGGGACTCGTAAGGATAGAATGATGAGAATGTATGAGAGTGGTTCGGTAACGGATTAATGCTCCATGGGCTGAGCGTCGCCATCGCCGGTGTCCACACGACGTTTGGCGCCTCCGCCAGAGCCGGTGCCGGTAGTTTCCTCCTCAAGCTCATTGATCTCGCTGAACATGTAATCATCCTGATAYTCCTTCAGTATTTTGCTGGAGCGATTCTCGTCCAGGAACAGGGAGTACACCTTTTTGACGTCCTCGGTGTTCACTTCGGTGGCCTTGCGACGGCGACAAACCAAATTGGCCGTGGTTATCAATTGAATGGCATAGCGTAGGCTGGTGTCGGTGGCGATGCGTGTTAGGATGGTCAGGGCGTCAGGATGCATGATGCAGTCCTCCTCCTCGCARCGTATCTTGAGTATCTCCTTGACCTCCTTTTCGGTGTAGGGAACRGTGCGTATGATAATCATGCGATCCAGCAGATCGATGGGTATGCCATGTGGACTGCGGTAATTGGTGCCGCGAATGCGTGTTATGCCACGGTTGGTGGCCATGACCACGACAGGAGCCATGTCGGATTCTAGGGCACGATTCAAGTACGAGAAGCACTCAATGTCCAGCATGTGCACCTCGTCAATGAAGAGGACACCCGGATTGATCTCGGCCTTGCCCTCCTCGCGCCATTCCAGCACCTTGTTATTGATCTGATCGCGCACCTCCTGCTTGATCTCGCCCGTGTCACCAGAAAATAGGGCCAGAAATCCATGGGTGCGACTGTTGATGACATCGATCTCGTGCAGGGTGACAGTGTGCACGACTTCCTTGCGCTTCTGCAGCTCCCCCTCGGGGCACTGGACAAAGCGAGTCTGTGCCCCAGTGGCRTCGTAATCGCGTGCACGTGTGAAGCTGCGGCCCAGCTTGTTCACCTTGCCGGAAGCTTTGTCTATGGTGATGACATCACCGGCCTGAATCTTCTCCTTCATGAAGCACTCGATGATTTTGTTGCCCAAATCGTAATTGGTCTCCATTTCGGTGGTTTTCAGTGTGACTTTGCCCACCTTTTGGCCGGTGCCGGTGGCAGGACGTTCGATTTGTATCTCAACCACTTCGCCTTCGATGATCTCGGTCTCCTCCTTGATGCGCACCCCAATGCTCTTGCGCAATGCCTGTGACAGCGCCTCCGTCTTGCTCATCTCCAAAGAGTAAATCTCCGAGCCGGACATGCTGGTAAACGGTGTCTCAGTGCCCAGAGCCTGGGCCATTCCTACGGCAATAGCCGTTTTACCGGTACTCGGCTCGCCGGCTAGCAAAATGCAACGACCGGCAATTTTTCCCTCTCGTACCATTTGCACCACAACGCCAGCGGCACGGCGAGCATCCTTCTGGCCCACCATGCCCTGGGAGACAGCACGCGCCTCCAGCACATCGTCCAATCCCAGGCCGCGAATGTGCGAATGGGCGCCAATGCGCTCGATGCGTGTTATGTCGCGCACTTCGATTTTCTCAGCTTCGCCCATGGTTTGCTGCTTCTTCAAGTCACTTTTAGAGAGAAATTCAATTGTTTGTGCGTCTCGTTGAAAAATTATTCGACTTGTTTGGAAGAAGTCAACAAATTAAATGAATATTTTATACTTTGTTGCTCGGCAACACAAAACAAATTGCCGGTTCGATATGCTTGACATGTGTTTTACTATCGATATTTCGGTGACAAACAAAACCTATCGTACTTTTCAACTATGCTGAAATCGTTTTGGTATCGATATTTTTCAAGAAAATAGATTCGATTAACGTAAAATCCATTTTAGGCCGCCAACATTTGAATTTTGAGCAATTAAAATAACATAAATAAAAAGCAAGTAAAATTTATGAGTTTTGGTGTTCCGTCGAACATTTCACGGCAGTGTGTGCTGTTTATTATTATTATGATTATTATTATCATTATTATTAAATATTAATTACAATTTGAATTTGTGTACGAAGTATGAAATGAGAGTAAAACTTTAAGATTATTAGCAAAAACTTAGATGCTTAACAAAGTGCGGCAAATACAAACAGGTTAGAGGTTAGCTGTAGCTGTAGCTGATTAGAATTTGAGCCCCATTGAACTGTTGATGGCATCCTTAGCACTTGCCATTCGACGGCGCCTTGGGACGACAGATTTTACTACGTCCATTCGCGCCATAAACAATATTACAGGAGAAGGTGAAGTAGCCGCACGTCGACGATTTCGTATAGTATGTGGACTGGAAGTTCTTGTTCTCCTGTGGCGGGCTCTTTGAATTGTCCATGCTACCAGTGACTGACTTGGTRACTGTCACATAGCTATCSGGTGCGCGTGGCTTTTGGGCGGCCCCAKTGGATGCCTTGGSACCATCATCCTCGAGACTGACATCYACCTTTTTATCAGTGCTGTGCAGCTCCAGGGCTTTGGTGTGGAACTTCTTCTCCACATTGACTGTGCCACGGAAGCCACTGGGCACACTTTCGGTGGTGGTGCGTATCGGATATGTATTGACCCGTCCATTTTGATTCTGCACCACACGATATTGGCCGGCGCTCGGATTGGCGACCACCGCCTGCTGCTTCTGAGTGGGCGATGATTGTATAAAGGTTAGTGGTGCAGCGGCAGGCGCAGCCACTGAGCCAGGCTCCTGGCTTTTGACCTGGCTGTCAACTGAGGGACTCTCTGCAAGCTTCACAGGCTTTTCATTGTAATAATCTTCCTCATCATATTCATCATATGGCTCTTCATCATCCTCTGGTTCTTCATCCTCGGCTAGTGTGGGCTGAGGGTCATCCTCTTTGCTGACTTCCTCTTTCTGAG